TCACTTTTTGACTATATTATCTTCCACGTGGATTATTATATGACATGTCATCGTGTTTCCGTTAGTTAACAGTACATGTCACTGGATTTTTAACGAAAGGACCAAATCGGGGTAAAAATGGTAAATAGTTGGGACCAAATCAGGGATTTTTTTAGTTTAGGGACCAAATTGAGGGTCCGTACAATAGTTCAGGGACCAAAAAGGGGTTTTAACCTCCTAATTATTGTCTAAATGATTTTAATGTTCAAAATGGAAAGAACATCGTCGGTGACAGAAAGAACAAAAGCAGTGACCAATGGGCAAAGAAGCAATTTTTAGTGGATTTCCATTTGTTTGGCTAGAAAATTGTACAGTTTGGGTGTTTGGCTGTTGAGAAAATTATTTCAATCTGTTTTGTTAAGAAAATTTGATGAGGAAATTGTGATTTAATTATAAATTAATTTAGAATCTCAATTTTGATTAATATAAGTAATTATAGTTTAATGATGATTAATTAGTGAAATCTGTGAAAAATCTTTGGAATCACTCTAAGAAAATCTCTGCAATTTCAAAGAAAATCTAGGTTTGGATTCGAAGAAAATCTTTGTTCTGTAATTTAGATTTTTTTTACTGCTGAAAGAGAAACCCAAAAGACTTCTTTATTGGTGGTCTTTGTAGGTAACGTGGGATCCATTAGAAGGGTTTTGTGTGGGAAGATGACATGTCATCAAAAAAAAGTCTAGATCAATATCTTTTTAAGTTGTTTTCTCCATGTCATAAAAAAAATATATAAAAAATGCCAGGTGGGCGGAGTTAACAGTCCAAATTGACGGAAGAACAAACATTGTGCATTTCTTAGAGTTGAGGGATCAAAAATGTGCAAACCAATAAAGTTGAGGGACCAAAATGAGCATTTAACCTAAATTTTTTTACTCCAACCAATTTATTTGCTATCTAGATATGTTAGAATATAGCTTAACCACTAAATCTCCAACTTAGGTTTGGTTGCAAAATTTATATAAGTATAAGATTATTTTATTTTTAACATTTTTACACATATTGTGAGTGTAACATCTCATACTTATTGCCCCATTCAAGTAAATCATGTAATCCTTATGATTTTCATGCATTAATGAAATTCTATTTCCCATAGAGAAGAAAAAACCTTCACAGCCATATTTCTTTAACATGCTAAGGATCCATATATATATAAACAAAGAAA